GGTCGTCTGGAGAAGTTCGCATTTTCACCCGTTCCTTGGGCTTAATTGAAGTCTGATTTCATGCAATTCTGTGAACTTTGTGTATTTGATGTGTGTATGTGACGAAAAAGAGCCGTGATGATGTCTTCCTAAGGTTTGAAGTCCTATTTGGAACATTTCCCTTGAATCTTCGCAAAATAGCACATAACCACTCGTTCATAAGACGATGGTCTTGTGCCAAAGATGTCAAACATCAAAGGAAAATAGGAATTGGCTAGAATTTTCTAAAAAGGTGAGTCTCAATTCTAGTTTTCTAAGACGGTCAATAAGAACTCCTAGAACTAGATCCTAGGCTCTAAGGAGGAGAAGAGAAGACCTCACAAAAATGAGGTCAACAACACCAACAAAAAATTAATTTTTTTATATCGATTTGTCCAGTACCGTCTAATTTAAAACATATAGAAAGTTGCACGATGAAAACGTGAAAATTTTTCTTAGATCTGAATTTATATAAAATATTTCCAAATAAAATACCAAAATTTTATGAAAAAGCAAACAAGATTGAAATCTGAAGTAAGATAATAGTAATCTACCTAGTGCCGAACAATTTTCCCAACTGGAGCGATTGATGAAAACGACTCTAAGGCCTCCAAAATGAACTTTCATTCTTGAAAATTATATTTTTTCTTCTTCTTTTTAATGTGCTGGTTCGGAATTTTAAAGTCCTAGAATAATATAATGGCTGATGAAATGAGTGGCTTTAGATACTTATATGAGAGTGTTATTATTTTTTATTTCAAGAAAAAAGATATAAATGTTAATAGTGAATTTGTTCTGTTTATCAAGTATAAACTTTAGAAAACTTATTATATCATACAATACTTGACTATACAATTAAAAAAAAATTTAATAAATAGAAAATCATGTCTAGAACACAATGGTCAAATCATTTTGTAAAATGAAGATCAGATGGTTCCATAAATCCCACTTTACAAAGAAGTACTAAATCCTTAAAAAAAGACAAATCTAACAAGAAAGCTTTTTACTTTTCTATTTTTGATGTTCATAAAAATTGGTAAAAATATGCTCAAAATACAATCAAATGTACAATTTAGTGATATATTTTTTAAATCGAGTATGGAACAAAACAAGATAAATTATTTTAATATAATAAGGTCAATTTTTGTAAGTCAAAATTTTGTCCAAATAAAAATTAATAAAAATCTACGAATAAATAAAACATAAAATTAACTCTAAGCATTCCAAGAAAATCTTTAAAGAAAAAATAAATATGGAGTTCAGTGATGGAGAAGGAGCAACACTGAGGATGGTAATGATGCCAAGAGAGTCAAAGCATTATGGAAAACCTTTCTAAACTAGGATGATTTTGAGTTCATGGATATCATTCGGGCAACAAGTTTGTGCATGGTGAGACTAAGACATTCTAATGAAAGGCATGGTGGTCTGCAACAATGCATGAATGGGCATGTGCAGACAAAGCGCATGACAACGAGTAATGACGTGCAACTGAATAATGAGAACGGGAGGTTAGCATTCACAAGTTGGGCAGAAGCAATGTCTGTTTACAATACATGAGCTAGAGAGGCATGCGAGAGAGTGTTGCCAAGAGTGAGATTCTTTTTTTTGTTAAAGATTGGGTTTGGAATGGGTGACTCCTTCAAATAGTTTTGTAATAACATTAAAGTTTATTTCAGCCAAAAATAGCCACTCATATTATTATTATATTCTAATGAATCAATTAACATATAGATGGCCAAATTTTCAATCCACATATATATTTTTGAAGTGGTATTATTTAATTTGTGTGCCTCTCTAAATTTTAGTTTATTGATGAAAGCATTTTCTTAACTATTGGAGATCCTAACATCCACCCTAAAAAGAAAGTATTTTATTGAATTGAGGTCTATTATAGTTAGACAAGTAGACACATATTATGTAGTATAAACCTGAAATGAACGAGATCTAACAGTTATTCAGAAGGAAGACTAGTAAAGATCTCGAAACATGGTAGCTATGGGCGGCTTGATGGTCGTGCTTGAATCCTGTGCATCCTATAAGATGGGCTTTCTTGGACAAGTGCTCTAGACGAGTTCAACTAACCTAGTGCTAATGGACCAGGCTAACTACCATCTAACAGCTAGATTAGCTGTTGATGACCCCAAACTAAGTACTAGAAGCCAAATTTCATTGGTGAAAATTTGCGGGTGCTTTACCACAATGTGTGTTCGGCTCATTTAGTAATTGATATAAAATTTTTTTAAGACTGACTTGTTCAATTAACCATCGGATTACAAGCTGTTTGGATTATCCGATAGCTCCATTCCTTTGCTTTAACTGGTTTTATCTCAGTTTTCTTCCCTAATTTTCTCAAAGAAATCCAAATTGTGCTATATGCTTTGTTTTTTATCTTTTGCCTATTGCCCCCAAGTGATATTTTGTGTGCGCTATCGCTTTCTTTTGGCCGAGCAGTGTAATGGTTATATTCCACTCTGTTTCAATCTTAAAAGCCAAACATGGGGTGTCTCTTCAAAATTGATTAAATTGTTAAATGCCTTAGTACAGAACACAACCTGCCCTTGTATCATCTAATTTCTTTCTTCAAACGGTTCCATAAACATTTTGACTTACTTTGCTTAGCCATTTATTTGAGGGTGTTGACATGCATTTTTCAGATTGATTACTTGCTCTGTATTGTTGGATATTTTTGTCTAAGGCTATATATCTAGTGTTGAAGTTTGAGCGCAAAGTTTCCTTAAAGACAATAATATTACATTTATTAACTTTTTAATCTCCATTCAATTACCTAAATGATTAATAAAATACTAACAAAAAATCCCTTTTTCTTGAAGATAAAGACTAATGAAATCCTTTTTCTAATTTGCAAAACGACTAATGGTCTGTGATTGATTTCAATGACAGAGGGTTCATGTTGTAATGGGCCATGCGATTGACAACTAAAATTTTCACTCATAATCATAGACATCTTGTTTCGGTATTGGCTAGAACTAAACTATAATATACAAATTTTGCAAGAATATCAACCCCTTGATTTTCTTCTCTTGGTACATGAACTACTTTGAAACTCTCCAACTTGGCGATCCCTGATTTTTACGCATTAAATGAATTAACTGTTAGCTTCAAAATCACCTAACCGTTGCTTAATCTCAAATTATGAATCCACAAAATATGAACATTTTTACTCTTCTAAAATCAAATATAAGCGTGATTGGGTCAACTTCTGCACCACCGGGTTATTAGTTGCCTCAAATTGAATTCCCAATGATTGAGAATCGTTCCTTCCAAGCTCTTTATGTGGCCTTTTGCTTTGTGAAGCGAAAGTTCTGTTTTTCCTCGCTGACAATTATCCATAGACCTCTCAACTTCATTCTCCAAGTTACCAGTAAAATCTATCATAAATTTGGCTAGAGCCCGCCCTTGCACTGTCACTCTTGTTATATATTTTAGGCCATTCTTTCTCAGTTTCGCTGACCTCGGAATGCTTGAGTTTCTAAAAACAAACTGTAATGATTAGTCTACAATTATTCGTATGGAATGATCAGTCTGAGGCTCATGATAGTCAACACCTGAGCAAAAAAAAAAAAAAAATAATCCAGTTTTGTGTCGCAGTTCGGGTTCTTAAAAAATTGGTTCATTTAACAGATCTAAGAGTTGCCTTCATCAAGAGATGAGAACTAATGTGGAGCCTTATTTTGGTCATAAATTGAAGTTATTTCGACAATTTGATCTCTGCCAAATGTTTTACTTTTTTTGTAGCAAAAGATTGGTAGTTTGCCAATGGATAGAGCTAATAGAAAAGCAGGAAGATGAAATTTTAACACAAGAATCTTGAGAAGTCAATGCAATGTATCGAGACCTGGCATCTAGTCAACATTTTCTTCTTACCTACACTCTCCTCTCTTATGTTCTTTTTCTCTACTAGAGGGTTTAGCTCAAATAGTATGCTTCTTGGTTTCTAGCTTAGAAGTATTAGGCATTAATCTGAGCGGGCTCGGTCATAATGAATTTACCCAAATCCACATAAATTTAATATTTCTAATTAGCCTTCTGCACACCTTGTAAATTTCTATCTTTAAAAAAATAAGAAAAATTTGCATACATACCGCTCAATTGCTATGTATATCCAACACCTAAACTTTAATATATATATATATATATATATATATATAATTTTGTTTTATTTATTTTTTTTTAAGGAATGACCAGAGGCTATTATACGAGCCTCCAGCTTCCCGTAATGTGTCTAACAATTCGAGTACTACCTTCTTAAGGCCAATTGTTCCAGAGGGGATTCGAACCCCCAACTTGAGGGGTCTCATACCGTGGACGCTAACCAACAGGCCGGGATATGCGACACACACACACACATACCACTTGATCTATGACAGACAATGTGTATTTGGGTAGCAGTATTTTTTATATAATATGAAAAATTTGAGTGATATTAATATAAAAAATAAAAGTTCAGGTGTTGGATATACATAGGGTTTGGGTGGGAGGTCTAGGTTTGGATTGACTAAACCTTTTGACTTCGTACTCTTCTACTTTTCTGTCTCACACTCTCGCTCACTCATTTTCTGTAAGCTACGAACAAAGGACTGATAGATGCCCCCTCTTGACTTAAATGAACTGTCTCAGCTGTTAATTCGACTCGACATATCTTATTTCATATATTATTATTATTATTATTATTATTATTATCAGTTATTACAATTCAATACACTACTATTTTGACTCATGCATGTGTAAAACCGATGTAGAGAAACATTTTAAGAATATAGATGCCCATCTTCAGAGCTGAATTACGATTTAATATTTTCTCCACTGTTTTGAAAAGCACCTGCTTTGCTGCATCTGGTTACTGCAACTTTGCTGAGCAACACCACTGTCATGTGGTTGGGTTTCAAGCATTCCATTTTTCTTGTTTGTTTTGGATGAAATTATCTATATTTATGTAATTTATGGTTTCAATTTTCCTCAAGCCTCGGGACTGCTACCTTCGCTCCGGCGTCGGCGACAGCAGAAAATCAAATTCGAGAACATCATGCCCCAGAAAAATCACCTTACCAACTTATGCTCCCTTGGGTTAGTTTTGTAATTCATCTGTAGAATTGTTTCATGTATGGTTATTTTTGACAAAAATGGCAAAAGAATGTTATAATGGCAGTTATAAAGCCTTCTATTTAATGATGGATTTCAGGAAATGCTCTCAATGGAGACGACACTTCAGCGCTTAGTTGGTTGATTATAAATGAGCCTTCCATTCCTCTCAGTGTGTGGTAAGGTTTGGATCTTGATATTTTCTAAAAATTATAATTGAATATAAAATAAGGGCTCTGTAAAATGCGAAATAATAAAGCCGTGCGATCTTGTAACAAAGCTGGTTATTTTGTTTAATAAATAAATAAATAAAAAAACTGTCTTTAAATGCCTATTTTTTTTTTTTTTGTATTTATGTATTTATTTTGGGCTTATCCTTCAGTTGTTACATATACTACGTGCGGAGTTTAATGAAATCAAGCCACGTGAAGGTAAAAAAAAAAAAAAAATCGGTCTGGCGACACGGGAATATCCCGTGTGTTATTTCGTGTTATTCAAGTGTTATTGTATTATGAGAATATTCCCGGTGTTAAAATATCACAATAATACATCAATAATATTTGAATAACACAATAACATCGAATAACACACAATAATACCAGAATAACACGGAAGAAATATTTCCTTCTGTTACCGGGCAGATTTTATTTTTATTTCTATCACGACGTGATTTTATTTGACTCCGCATGTAACTTTACGTGCGGAGTCCTGATGCAATATTTTCTCTGCAATCGCAAGCTAAAAACTGGTTGGACCTCTAAGAAAATACATGGTGGTGGTTGGGAAATTAGAGAGGGCTGGTTTTTTTTTTTTTTTGTTTGTTAATAGAAAATGCATTTTAGAAAATGATTTATTTATTTTGAGAGAAGAAAAATAAATTGTTATTTTTGAGGATTTTTGGAATAATTTGTGGAGCATGAAGACAATAGGAATGCTCAATTTAATGATAAATTTGATATTTTTTAAATTAGTTTTTAATATATAATTTATAGTTTTAAGCTACAGCATGTGCCCTGAGTAGCAATTATCTAATATTGCTGGAGTAAAATAGAAGTAGACAGATTAATGCATGAACATGTGCATTTAACTTTTAATGAGCAAGTAAAATTGATATTTTTGGTGTGTATTAAAGATTCAAGTGTTATGCATGTAAATATGAAAGTTTAATTGTTATATATATATACATAAAAATTGTGTGGGTATGTATGTAAATGCTTCTTTTTTTAAAATATAAAGAAAATTAAATACAATGCATTTTATTTGGTATATTTGTTTGGTTGCATCAAAAAGCAGCATCACCATTATAGCTGGAGGTGATGAATAGCTATAGGCAGTCTATCATCATGAAGATCAAGGTAATGTTAATCAAGTTTTGATCGTGTCGGTTCGTAGGATTTGAATCATGTTTGTGATGGCTTGGTTATATGGCTTAAGTTTCTTTTGAATCAATGTCTCGCAATGGTGGGGTTGGTCTGGGTTTGGGTTGAGCAACTTTTGACTCGTGGACATTGTGTTTATGCACATGCTGATGAAGCCTTAGTTTTGTCATCTATTATAAGCTTGCTTAGTTCAGTTGTTGCACTGAGCGGTCTTAAGGGTCTGTTTGGGACAATTGCAGCTTATTTAGAGATGCTGTCTCGTGAAACATATCATTCATAAAAAATAAATTTAAAAATACTAAAAATTTACTCTCAAATAAAATTTATTTTAAAATGTTAAAAATTATTTTTGGACGTTGAAAATTTACCAAAAAGAAAACAAAATAGCTAATTTAATGTAAAAATATTAAATTTATAAATATTAAATAAAGCTATATCAAATAATTTTAAAAAAGAAATATCTAAGAGTATCTTATAGTAATTTTTTTATTTTAGAGCTTTTAGAAATTTGCCATAAATTTAAGAAAATAATATAAATTCATCTTAACATTTAAAACTTTAAAAATATAAACAAAGCTTTATAAAATAATTGCTAAATACAAGATATAGTTTTAAATTAAATATTAAAATTTTAAAAAATATATATTGAATTAGAAAAAAAGTTTTCAATTATTTTATAAATTTTTTTTGAAAAAATGTTTTAATAAACTTTACATATAATTATAAGAAAAGTTGGAAATTTTAAAAATAAATACAAATATTCCTTTAAGATAATTTTCTTAACAATCTAAAGTATATTTAAATGGAAAAAAATAGAAAAACATGGCAATCCAAGCAGCATGTCTAATAGCAGTTGCTTATTATGGGAGGGTTTAGTAACCAATTATATTAGTGAATAATGCCTTTTTAAAATAAATTTTAATAAAGTGCCTCTTTAAAAATTTGTCTATTTTTAACATGAATAGGGGTTTTGGCATAGTAGGTTCTAATAGGTCCGACCCATATAAAAATATAACTCCAGTCATGTAGCCCTGGTTGTGTATACTTTGGCTAACTTATGTCCTCTATGAGCTCTAAAATTTTATCATCTATAGTCAAGAAATCTTAAAATTTTTATTTTTTTTTAGGTTAAAACCATGAGATTATTTTTAGAAGACATAATTCATTGTTATTAAGATAATATCCTTTAAAGTTATTAAAATAATATCCAGTAACGACATTATGTCAACTACCTTGATTTCATACTTTATAACTAGGGATGATGGATCCATTAAATTTTTAAAAATTTGTTCTTTTTTAGAGATTAATCATACATAGATTCTTTATTTGTTTAGAATTAGTGAAATGCTTTGTTGTGATGATTTTATGTGTTTAATTATCTTTTACTTGTCCTACCATACTAATCCTTTTTCTTCTATTCTCCTACTAAATCTCTTATATGACGAGATCATCATTCATTTTTTCCCTTTTACTTGTTAACTTAATTCTATTTGATTACGAGTCTATTATGGGTGCTTACTCTCTTATTTTTCTTTTTCATCATAGCTAAACAAGTTTGTGTTTGTTGTCTAAAATGCAAAGTTGTAAGAAGCTGCCTCAAACTAGCCCTATATCTTTCTTGTTGTGTTTTTAGAAATCTCGATGATGAAAAAAAATAGAAGCAAATATGTTAAGAGTGTGATAGTATAAGAAAGTTAATGTTCGACCTTTTAAAAAATAATATAAAAATTAGTGCCTTTTATAAAAATCATTTATTTTTTCATAATAATTATATAACACTTCCATAGACTATTATAGCATTTTCTATTAGTTTCTCGCATATTCGCTTGCTTCATAACCAACACAATTTTCATAGGAAAATTCACTTTAGATACCCATGCTAGTAAAAATTGATGAAATATGTCAAATGTGTGTTTTTATGGGAAAATATAACCGAGAGCATGATTTAGACCAAAATGCCATCAATTTGGAGTCACAATGTCTTTATTTAAAGTTGAATACATCTAACATTAGTTCAAAAAAAGTTTGATTAACGATCAATCTACATTTAAAAAAAGTTGGATCCATGTTTGTGTTATATTTGACCATTGTTTGTACCATAATTCAATTGTTTTCAAACCATATTTGAGTTTGATATGTAAGGAGTGAAAATAGTTCGAAAATGTATTGAAGTAGATTCAAGAACATATTTGAATTATGATTTAATCTTAGTTTCAAAGGGGTTTAAACAATATTTTATCTAAGGCTTGAACATAAACTTACAATAGAATTAGCACAATCATAACAATAGATTATAAAGATATAATACAAAAATCATAATATAATAGAAAACATTTTAAGAGATGCCATAATAGATATAACACAAAACATAATGCTATTATATTATGAAATTGAAGATCCATAAACTATCATCCATAACACAATATAGATAAATTTAAAAGTGATATATTATATTAATAAAAGTATAAATATATACAAAGAATTATTACCTACACAAAGATAAAAATTAAGCTTATGAATCTATATTATTGTAAAATTATTAAACATACAAATGATCCTTAAGGAATTATATGTGATAAAGTGTAATATCTATAAGACTTCTTTTAATAAGGCATATGATATTTTATATTGCACATATTTTATAGTTGTCACTACAAATAATGTACAAACTAATCATTAGATTATATAAATAATAAATGTCAAATTATAGATTTGATGACTTTTTCTTTTTCATTTCCATACTAATTTGGAAGAAATAAGTTTCTCCTTATTATCAAATAATTTTGACCGTTCAAGTAATTTGAAGAATCACTTATAAAATATATTGTTTTTTTTTACAAGGTTCATGTTAAGATATATGAGTGATCAAACTCATACAATATCATGGACAGCATAAGAAGTGGGATATCATATGAAATCTAAAAAATTCTATTAGAGTTGAACGATTACTACACAAGTTTTCCTTAAACTCATGACTTCAAAAACTTCTTCTCCAATGATGTACTACTGGCCTCATCAAGCCACATTGATGTGTTTTTTTTCTTATAGTTGATGAAAGTAAACATTATTGCTCTACAAGACTAATTAAATGGCTTGTTCAACATAATAATATCATGTTAATAGGTTTTCAAGTAGCACAAATTTACTCTCTCATTAGAAAATATAAATATCTAATATGTTATAAAAAAAGAAATTAAAGTTATTGTAGAAAAATTTCAAGAGATTAAAATCTTAAAAAAAAATATTAACTAGTTGTTTGAGTATTTGATTGTTAGAACCACTTTAAGCTTTTAATGTCACCTCTCATTTTTATTTAAGTTGTTAATCAAACTTAGTATTTAAGACTTAACGGATGATAGTTACATCTGAGCAATTAGGCAAAGACTCTTCATCTAAGGATTTATAAAATCCTTAATCACACACTTCTTATTTTTTATGGCCTTCTTTTAAACCTTACTAATTCTATACCATTTTTCTATATATTTGTAAGAGATGAAGTGACATTCCCTAACTTCTAGATCTCATGCTATATAAGTAAAATAACAAGAGATTCTTCTGATTGATCTTCCGTCACTTCATGCACATATAATATTACAAATTTAGTTGTTTTTTATTGAATAATATATGAGTTATGCATAAACTCGAGACTTCAAAAACTTCTCTTCTCTCTAATGACATACTAAAGACTGACTTAGGCCACTTAAGGGTTTTTTTTTTTGAGCTTCTTGAAAATAAATATTTTTGCTAGTAGTAGCTAAGTAGTTTGTCATATATAATAATATTAGATTTATAGGTTTTTGTGCAGCAATAGCTTATTAGGAATATAAAGAATTGGCACATTACCAAAAAAAATGATGAAATTAGAAGTCAAAGTTGGTGTATGAACTTAAAAAAAATTAAACTTAAAATATAATCAAAGAATTCTCAACTTATCATATGCTCAAGTTGTTAGAGTATTCAACTATTGAACTACTTTAAGCTTGAAGTTTCCACATTTTTTTTTTTGACATGTCTTGTTTTATGTCATGAATGTCTATTCCATGAGTATCTAAAAGTACATTATCATATTCAAGTAAGTCAAACATCTCAATGAATACATCATCACATTTATCATGGTTGAGAAGAACATTATACAATAAGAAAAATATAGCCCAAACTTTCATATATTACTGCACAGTGCATTCTATGGAAGCTTTATTCAAGTCTAAATTTTAAAGGATATATCATTATCAAAGTAGTTCTCTTACAAAATATTACTTATGCTGATTTTCTAAGAGTTCCTCATCGTATGATTATTTTCTAAACTAGACCACAACTATCAAGCCAAATTTAGTAATATTAAATAGGATTTTCCCTTCTGTATTGAACATAAAGGAGTATCTCTCATTTTTTATTTTAGCTATTATCATTAATAATAATCGAAGAGTCATGACACTAAATAATTATATTTTAGGAGCTCTAAAGAGGTGACTAAACAAGGATCGCTCTATTTTGCAAGATCATCACAAAAAATCACTAACTTGTTTCATTATTTAACTCCCAATATGTTGCCAGTGGTATCATTCCTCTGTTTAGTATGATTGAAGAATATTTTTATATACATAACAAAATAACTCAAATGAACATAACACAAGCTTAACAACCATGCAATTTAAAAATTTCTCATTTAATTCATTAAAATAATTAAAAAGTTTCATAATCGAATAATCATTAAACCAACTTCAAATAATAATTGAACTAATATTTAACTTTGATGGATTCTCCTTGAGACACCTTCAAACCATGATGATATAATGATTATACCATCCTCGAACCAACTTTTTAACATCATAGATCATGATAGTATAATATTCAAAATACTTTTGAATATTGATAAAAAAATTGATGATCGAACCATCTTATGATCACAGTTGGCCATGATCATATAATCTTCAAACCACCACAAACAATGATCAAATCATCTTCAAATCACTTATGAGTGATCATCAAACTATCATTTTAAAGATGATTTGATCATTGTTCATCAATTGTTTGAAGATTATGTTAGCGCTAGAGACCGCTCGTTCCCGCCTCCTACGTTTCGTGAAACGGTGCCAACTCCCGCTCTCGATCTTCCGAACGCGAAAGGTCGCAATCTCTTGTTCGCGCCTCCCGCCTCTTCAGCGCTCGCCAACTGCTCCTGCCTACATCCCTTCGAAACATCCCTTCGCTCCCTCCTGTTCGTGATAAAAGGTATCACACGACTCTCTTTCAGTTAGAGAAGTCACGTTTTGAGTTCTTCTTCGGGCTTCCTTGGGATAGAGGAAGAGTTCTTCGGGTTTCCTCGGGATAGAGGAAGAGAAGTGCAAGCAGTGTGTGCGTGCTTGGTGAAAGAAGAAGAGAAGGAAGAAGAAAGAAGAAGAAGAAGAAGATTGTTCTCCCTTGACTTCTTCTTGGTGGCTTGTGCTAGAAGAGAATTTGTGTTTATTTCTCTTGTAAGTTTATCTTTTTTGGTGTATCTTAGTGTAGAGTTTTTTCGGTGTATCTCGATGTAGAGAAAGAAGAACAAAGAAAGAAGAAGAGAGAGAGCAACGTAGTGGAAGTGAGAAATTTCTCTTGTAAGTCGAGGTGATCTAATGGTGTAAATTCTCAAAGCAATAAAATCTTCTACAACTCCGTGGACGTAGGTAATTTGCTCAACAACGTAAATTTGTGTGTTCTTTTATGGTGTGAAATTTTTCTCGTTTTATTTTTCGCTTCAAAGATCGTTCTCCTGTTTGATTTATATACATACCACATCAATTGGTGTTTTATATCTTATTGTAACAATAATTGGTATCAGAGATTTTTTTGGATCTGAGGAAGAATGATGGCTGCAGATGAAGTGAATGTTTCATGGATCGAGAAATTTGATGGCATATATTTTGGTTATTGGAGGATGCAGATAGAGGACTATCTCTATGGTAAGCAACTTCGTTTTTCATTATTGGGAAAAAGACCTGAAATGATAGATGAGGCTGAATGGAATTTGTTGGATCGACAAGTTACGGGGGTTATTCGATTGACCCTATCGAGGTCCCCTATCGAGGTCCGTTGGTCCGTTGCATACAAGGAAATGACGACTGCAGATCTCATGTAAGCCTTATTAAGTATGTATGAAAAGCCATCGTCGAATAACAAGATGTACTTGATTAAGAAATTATTCAATTTGAAGATGACAGAAAATGTTTCTTTTGCTCAACACCTGAATGATTTCAATACTATCATAAATCAATTATCGTCTGTTGAAATTGATTTTGATGATGAGATACGTGCGTTGATATTGTTGGCATTGTTGTCAAATCGTTGAGAAGCCATGAGATGAGATTTATCAGTTTTACAGGTAAATCTAAACTGAAATGTGATGATATTCGTGATTTGATTTTGGCTGAGGAGGTGCGCAGAAAAGATTCTGGCGAGATCTCATGTTCGAGCTCGACACTGAATGTTGATTTCAGAGGAAGATCACATGACATAAACTCAAATAAATGGAGATCAAAATTAAAGTCTGGTCAGCAGACAATCTGTTGAAATTGTGGCAAGACTGGCTACATAAAGAAAAACTATAGGAATCTCAAAAATATGGAGAATGATTGCGCAAATGTGGTATCTGAAGAAGTACATGATGCACTATTGCTGGCAGTTCATAGTTCTGTTGACGATGAAAGTGAATAGGAGTGTGGGTCCAGGGCACCTATTCCTATTGTTCCACAACGAGATGGTAGAGAACCACAAAGCTATAAAGGAATCTCCCACTTTCTCCAACCTGCGGCCTTTGCGGGCTTCAACTTCTCTCATTCCCATAGTTGAATTTAAGGCAAAATGAAGGAAAGATAGTTTTAAGAACATGTAGGATTTAGAGATGTCATTTATGTTTATTGGCAGGTTCAAAAATGGGATTCAAGATTATGTTGGATTATAATTGTCTTTTTTGCTATTTGATAGGTTACCTTTATCAATGGTTTCGAGTAGGATCTGAGCGGAAGAAAGAGGGGGAGGGAGTTTTAGAGGCCTTTGTGTGTCACGATCTTATTGTTGTGGTGGGACCGAGGAGGAAGGATGAGGGTTTCAAAGGTATTTGTGGTGCGGTAGGAGTGGGGCAGAAGCAGTAGAAAAATGTGAGTTTCAAAGGTTTTTGTATGTCGCAATGCTATCACTGCCATCAAATCTTGTAACATTGTTAACGCATGAAAAAAAATTTTCTGTTCAGACTCTGGACGTAGTTCTACATGCGGACTCCAATAATATACCGACACGTTTGCTACATCGCGGAGATTATTTCGGTGTTATTAAAGTGGAACCACAGATGTTATTTTAGAGTTATTTCGGGGTTATTGAAGAGAAACCTATATATTTCACTTCAATAACACATAAATAACCCCGAAATAACCTTTGCGATTCCGCTTCAATAACCCCGAAATAACACCGTGAATGTTTTTTCAGGGTTATTGAAATGAAATATATGAGTTTCTCTTCAATAACCCCGAAATAACCAGAAATAACTCCGAAATAATCTCTACGGTGTTATTTCAAGGTTATTGAAGTATAACCACATAGGTTATTACGGGGTTATTGCGGGGTCTCCGGTTTCACTTTAATATTTTTTTAAGTCAGCTCAATATAGCACATATAAGGAAATATTACCGGGAGTCCATACATTCGGTGTATGGAAGGAAAATTTTTCCATATGTGCTTAGGATATAAATATTGAAGTTTGGGCGTGAGATATGAAATTATAATAGTTTTGAGTACTATTATGTGAATTCCCTGCAATATTTCATGCTTAGGGAATATGCCAATATATAAAATACTTTTAAGCTTCCCCAAAATGGACCTCAAATTCGAAACGCAAACAACTTCCATTGCTGCGTTCTGCAACGCAAACAAACTCCGCTTTGACAATCTCTTTTCCTGCTTGCCTGCTCGTCGTTATCGACTTCTGTGGTGAGGAGAAGCATACCAAATGATTAGCAAGGTTTAAAGGCTACTCCACTTCACCAATGAGCTCACTTCCCACTCCAAACCCTATCCCTAAACCCAATACTTCCCGGACATACGTCAAAGGTTCTTGTCTGTCGGAATCGCAATGTTGGCTATGTTTCTTACCCAGGCAACGGAAGCCGGTTACCCTCTCGATTGGGATCACCTGCCGGCGGAGCTTATCCGTCTTCGATGTAAGATCGTCTCTCGAGCCGACGGATGTGGTTGAGGAGAAGTTTATGGAGCGGGGCAGCCAGAATCTGGTGATCTCATCGATGTACCGTTGCTCAAAGATCCCGCGGCCAAATCAGATAGTACTTGAAGCTCAGGCTAAGGTTTGCACAGGTCCAGAGCAGACCAGGCCACTGACCGAGGAGCAGGCCATGAAGGTCTTTGAGACCATTCTTAAATCAGGTTAACCTCTAATCGATCTTTTTTTCTTTTTTTATTAAATTTATCTACTGGAGTGCATCAAAGTACACATCGCCTTTGTTTATAGTAACTTAAAATATGTATGATTGGTCTGTGTTTTTATCGACCTGTGCATACTTGATTAAGTCTATTTGGCTAAGTAGATTGAGACGTCTAACGATACCTTCCGGAAGGACCTACCTTTGACAGGTGTTGAATTTAGGCGAGCTCACACAAGCCGCCACCACAATGTCCTGTCCTCTGCGATGGTTCTCTATGATCCCTAGCCTATATCTCTGAGATAGACGCACTTCTATAAATTGTGGTTCGAGGCTGCAAGTGAGGCTTCTATATTTCCTTATCTTTTCTTGCGGGAATTGAGCTCATATTTTGGATTTTGACACTATTTCTAGCCTAGAATGGATTCATTTTCTTTCTTTATTTCATGTAATCTTGTGATGCGTACTTTTGAGCTAGGGGTTGCCCTATACATGCCAATTTATTAAGGGATTGATAGAAACTCCATTTTCCAGATTCAGTATTCTTTTCTTGAACCTAATCTTTCTATTTTGGTTTTGTAATCTTAGTAGACACGAGCAAGTTCAAGTAATTTCCATTGGATATATCTGTTTTTGACATCTTTAGTGCAATAAGTGTGGAGATGGTTTGATCAAGAAGGTGAGATGTTGGTGATCGACAACTTGGAGCACATATGTTAGAGCTCGAGACAATATGACTACGCTACTTTTGGCAAAGCTATTTTGGATGTGATTATTTGATGCCAGTTAGTTCATGCTTAACCTTGTCATCATCTATGTGCAAAGTCAGTGTGTTCATTAATAGATTTCAGATGCATTCTTAACACCCTCTTTTTGCTAACCCAATCGAATGAAATTTTCTATGTGGTTGAGAGTGCTGGGGAGACTCCTTATGAGTTCCCTGAGAGACAAGTTTTTAAACCGACTAGCACATTTGCTATAAGAATTGCATAGGAGTCACATCCTGCCAAGTTTAAGTTATTGGTCCTTGACTATTACAAGGGGCTCGACCATTGCATATGATTTGAGCTGAGTATTTCTCTTCAAGTGGTCATCGATGAATTAAAGTTCTATTTCATGCTTACAACTTAAAAGGAAGTGATCTTGATCTCATCCCTTCTAAAAATGAGGTAGGGCTCTGTTGAGATGCTCCGTCAACTCACTAATTATTGAGATATTTGATTTTTTAGCTTGGTTCCTTTGGTCATTATGGTAGCATTTCAGGTCTTTGTGAAGGGTTTATTTCATTATGCATTTTTGAATAAAAGATGTTGGCTGAATTTCTTAAGATTGCTAATGACCATATTAATGGAAAAGAATACAGTAGTCTCAGTCAAGAGGCTTATTGCTAGAAACAAGAGGATTGATTTCTTTATCCTCATTATAAGTGGATGATGGATGCGTATTGAATTCACTATTCCAATGAACTTGTCTGGTAGACGATGGCCCATTGCTAAGAGTTAATGACTTGGTTGATTAGACAGTAGGGTGTTTCATGATAATTTTTGTTAATGCAGTCTTTTGGCATCATCAACTAAAGGCGCATTTGACTTACCATTGATAAGTTTTAGCTCATCATGGTAGAACTTATGTTGTTATAATGTTATGTTTGAGTTGAAGAATATTGAAACAACTTTTTGAAGAAATATGGGTTTTGTCTTAAAAATTAAAATTGGCTGAAATGTGAAAGTTAATTTTGAATTGCTAATCATAGAAAGAACTCTTCAGCAACTTGTTGTCGATTTGCTAGAAAGTTTTTCTTTGTTGAGATAGTATATGAGGTTGATTCACTTCATCAACACAAGCAAATGAAAATTTTTAGAATTTATGATAGCCCAAGATTTAGGTTAATATCAGTAAAATATAGGCCATTTGACATGTAGTCTCCTCAACCAACTTTTGAATAACCATGGAGAAACAAACTTCTTAGACGACCAGACGAATTTCTATCTCTTACTCTAGTGATAATTGCTCATTTTTCTTCATATTGTTGGGGTGGGCTAGGCAATTTGAGTGGACCCTAGAATGTGACCTAGCTTCAACCAATTGACGAGAATCATTTATTTGAGCATTCCTATCATTATACAATCCCTTGCTGATTTTGTTGTTGCTTGATTGTTAAGGCCAATATTGTTGGCGAGATGTCTCGTGATGATTTGATATCATTGATGCATAGTGATATATCCTTATGAAATCAATGAATTGGGATTTGTATTGCATTGAAGAATCTAGTTGGTTTCCACTGCCATGTTATTATATGTTTGCTTCCCTCTTATCAACAATCAAGCAAAGTATTGGCTGCTTTTAGTTACTTTTGTGTTTTGCAGGAGACGAGTTGGTGCTTGATATCTCTTCTTCTTTTGTGATGTATAAAGCCCAAGCCAATAGAACCAATTTGCTGACTTCTCTCTAAGTTTAGCAATCACATTAGTATTACTATTATCAAATTGTATAAGTTGAATATTGAAGAGCTTGAGATGTTGCATGTTGAATTTTCACCAAGCTAGGTGGATCCCTTCATTCAATATATAATTAGTGATTGAACGTTAGAAGAAGTCAACAACACTAAAATATTCAAGATGAAGGCAACTCTATGCAATTGTTGACCATTTTCTTAGAAGGTACATGCCAACTTATATCTAATGTATGCCTAAGATAAAGCCATTATTCTTAAAATTTTAGATTTAGGAAAAAATGTAGTCTTTCTAGAGGAAGGGTGTTGTCTATACGAGTTATTGGATTTATTTATTTATTTTTGGCTTCTTCAAGAAATGACTATGAAAAGCTCTCAAGGAGTGCAACTGGCACCGGAAGTTCACACCTTTATGACCGCAACCTTCCCACAAATTACAGTCAATTTATACTTTATGGTCATTTTCCATTAGGAAAATGGATCTTCTTGGTTCATATATCTGGCTAGTGGATGAATTGAATTTATGAAGTAGATTGAGGCTAGATGTTTGCCAAAATGACTTATGCGTGCAGAACTTGATCTTTTTGAGGGGTCATATATGGTCTCATCCATTCAAATATATTTTAAATGAAGGACAACAAAGTACAAGAAATGTCAGTCATTCTCAATTTGGGGAGCTCATCAATAATAAACCAATTACTTTCTGAAAGCTTGGGTTGAATTGGGAGGACCCTTTGTTGTGAAAGAAAAATTTAACTAATTTGCCTTCCAACTCAAAAGCTTTGCTAGAATAAAAGATACTAAGGACATGGAGTGGTAATGGCCTGATTAAATTTTACTATTAGAAGGGTAGACTCTATAGAAAAGATAAAAATTGTATTTTGTACAAATTATGAACAACACAAGTAGAATTCTAAACAAACTTTTTTTCTTAAATTTTTTTTGTTCTTGTTTGTAAGGAATTTGATTGCCCAAATCATTTGCATTTTCAAGGCCATCATGGCTAGAGCAAGATTCGTCCCAAGGAGCTCTCAAGATTCAGACAAGTAACACTTGTAGATTCTTAGGAGAATTAAGTCTTTGCCCTTTCTCTCTAGATCCTTGCAATCTTCTTCTTATGAATGAGAGTTACCTGAACCTTGTGCCGGGTTCACTGAGGGATTAAGAGTGTTTTCTCTTTCAATCTTGATGTTTTTGAGCTCAATCTTCCTCTATCGATTCTGTGATTCCAATAGACTTGAGGAAGGATTGACTACCTTTGAAAAAAAAGGAAAATAAGGATTGGCTAGTTTTCACCAGACGTAGCTGGTCTCAATTGTTGGTTTTCAATGTTTTTGTTAACTCAATTGAACTAGAAATCCGTTTCAAAACAAATTAAACTACAAGTGGTACTTGTTCCTCTAAGTGTTTGGAAAAACTAAACATTGTTATCACTGGATATAGAGGAAACAATAAAATATTTGGTTTTCTCTTGATGATGCATTAGGTTTTCATTTTATTGAATGATTTTAGATGTCATTTTGACCTTTTTCTATAGAAGTGAAGTTTTAATACATAATTACATGGTCATATCAACAAGCGTCGTTATCCCAAACTTTAAGTGTCATTTGACTAATGCGCATTTACAGTTCTTGTGTCAAGTTACCAATCCAGATTCATGTATTACATACCCTCAGTGATTGATTTAGTTAACTTAGTTAATAATGATGATTGCAAGCTGTTCTATATTAGGGAATTAGCCCAGTTAAATAAAGTAGGCCATGAAATTATGTTCTATTTTTGAAGCGATTCATACCACTAATGAATGACAATGAACCCATGTGATGAGTTGTACAATAATATCCATATTGGCAGTTATAATTCTAATTCGTTGTAGTTCATATGATTAAAGGTGGTGCATATGAGTGCGATTTTGCTTATTATTCTATTGATTCTTAATCACATCAATGTTATGCCAATGTAGCATTAAACGTGGTAGGATTAATAAAAGCAACTGCAAATAGTTAGGATAACTTTAATGATTATAATGATGATCACATATGAGAATTTCAGACTAATATGGGTCTTATCATGTGTAGTGCTTCATATCAAAACTTAGAAAGTGTTAATCACTCAGCTATTAAAATCGCTTAATACTGGGATTTTTACTAGCTTATTCCAACTTTAAGCGCTAAAAATTTGCCATGTGAGCTGCATATTGGTGTTAATTGATGCGAAAGAAACGACCCTTCTTTATTTTGATTTTGAAAATCTATGTTCTTATGAAACTAGCTTGCTTTATTCTTGTGTTAGTGCACACACTAAATAATTTATATTTTTTTTCCTATTCCTTTGTTATGTATCTCAAATTATAGGTAGCATAGGCTACATTATACTCTGCGCATGGACTTCAATTTTTTCCTTTCACAAATTGTAATGATGTTATTTATTGTGTATTTCTGAAAATTTTGTAAGATCCTCCGCAGTTTGAGCATTTTGGCATGTTATAAAGTGCTAAATGTGCCATAGGACCTTATGCATTACCCTCTATTTTCAAAGTACTCGACATCTTGGCTAAAAATTTTGAGCTTGATCCACAATCTTTTTGCCAATTTTCATTTCCATAAAATGTTTTTTCTCGAACTAACTTGTTAATGCCTCAAGTTTCATGATTGTGCAGTTTTTGTTTCTCCTTCATTCTCGGAACACTTGAATTTGGGGAGGCTTTCAAGTCTGTAATTTTTGTTAGATTTTTCTCATTGATTTTCTTATAATGCTATTTAAGCTAGAGGCGAGCTAAAAGATGATGAAGTTTCGAAAGCACAACTTGGTGCATTTTTTGCTGCAATGACAATACGAGCAAATACATTTCCAGAAGCTACCCAATGGAGTGATGGAGAAAGACATGCCATGAATCAATATTGGCCACATCTTGTTAGGGTTCTTCCTCCAGATGTTATCTTTATAGCCGATCCTGAAGGCACAATTATGGGTATGGGGAACTTTCCACGTTATGCTGGAAAAGGAGCAACAGAAATGAGATTGGTTGGTGCCCTTAGAGAAGTACTGGCAGGTGGTCATTTAGGTTTTGAAGAGGTAAAGGGTGTTCTGAAAGATGTTTTACCATTAAAGGGTAATGAGTTACAGAAGGTCAGTGAGTCGCTACTAGCTGCATTTCTAATTGGACAACGCATGAATCGTGAAACAGCTCGTGAGCTGAAAGCATATTGTCTTGCATTTGATGATGAGCTAGGTAATCTGTACTGATTTCTTATTTTACATGGTTAAAATTAAATTATCATATTCATTGATCTTTGTTTGTATGTTGACTATGCATTAGGGCCACCTCCCATAGCTGATGTTAGATCTTTGACTCACTATGGCGAGCCCTACGATGGAAACTCTCGTTTCTTCAAGAGTACTCTATTTGTTGCAGCAGTGAGAGCTTGCTATGGAGAGTCTTGTTTACTTCATGGAGCTGAATGGATGCCTCCAAAGGTCTGTTGAATGTAACCAATTTGCTATGCATTCCAATCAGTGCTTTTAGAAGTTGTAGGCATCCTTGTGACGATTTAGCTGCTGATTATTCAAGGCTCTATGTTTAGTACCCAAAAAATTTGAAAAAGGTAAAATATATAAGAAAGGTCTAAATTTTATACCCTTTTTTGGACATCACAAAAACGATAAATGCTATTTTTTTAAAATTTTATATTTTATTTTAATCATTTTGATGCATATGCGTGTGCTTGTAAATATTAATACAAAATTTATTTAATTTTAATTTTTATAAAATTAATTAACATGGGTTACTCAATAATACTATTCTATAGTTTTATTTTATTGTTTTCTAACGTAGGGGGTGTTTGGCTGCAAGAAGGATTTATCGTTAGTAGGATTTAGTAAATCCGAATTTGTTAAATCCACCCCCTTGCTGTATTTATTTAATCCAGATTTAACATGTATGAAAGGCAAAGTTCAGACCTTAAATCCAAGATTTCATAAATCCATGAAATTTGTGCTTTTTTGTCTTTGGCTGGATTTAATAAATCCTGGCCATAAATCCTATTAATAGGGAGCTACTAAACATTATATTTTTCTTGGCTTGTGTTTGTGCCCCGTAATGTATATTTTTCTGAAGGAATTTCCACTTTAAACTGCTTGCATTTGTGCTATTTTACTTGAATGATTTTAATTGGTCAAGTAGTTTTATGTTTATTTTAATTATTATATTTTGATACTCTAAGTATTATTCGACTTCCTCCCGTTTGTTTCCCGTAATCGTTTGACAAACCAAGAGTTTGAGGATAGACCAAAGTGAGGAAATGAAGGAATGAGAAGAGGAAAAAACTATGAAGCATGGACATGGGGCACAAACACAAGCACGGGGTCACGGACCCTACATGACATGATATGGGGACACGACACGTCATGTGCATGTTTTAATATTTAATTAATTATTAATATAAAATATTTATTTTTCATTATTCCTTATTAAAGCATCACAAAATAAAATATGCTAGAATAAAATTTAACTTTATAAATTCGTACTTTTAAACTTAGAAGAAAGACATTTCACTGTTTCCTACTCAAGAAATCCAAATAAAAAAATTCCATAGGTAAATTTGCCTAAATCTCAATAAGTGTTTTTAGTAGATTCTATTTATCGAAACTCTAAACTTTACAAATTTTAAATCTTTAACTCCAAATCGAATCTCCAATCTTCATTCTTCAATTCAATCAATATTTAACTCCAATTTTCCAATATCTAAAATTCAAATACGAATCCCGAATTTTTTGAAGTGATACTCTTCTTGGACTTGATTGATTGTTTTAATCAACACCAATATGTGTGTTGTGCTCTGCACGATTCACCACACGTATTAGGGGTTCATTTGTTGACATTATTTTTTGTCACAATTCTTCTCCTAACAACTCTAATTAGATCTAGACTCATTTCGAGTGTTCTTAGGTGGTTGATCGTGACCTAGCAATTGACTATGATTGGCTTAGGTGTGCTTAGACTTGGATCAAATTAAAAATTAAAATATTTTTAAAATTAATGCAAATTTAATCATAATTCATTTAAACCCAAATTCAAACTTAAAATTGAGCCAAGTTTAAAATTAATTTAAAATAGACCAAATTTTATGATGGTATCTCTGACTCGTCTTTGTGCTCAAAATTTTACTCCCCAAGCTGCATCAAATTCATTATGATGTTTGGAGAAACATGCAATGAGTTCGATAGCGATTTCCCGAAATTTTTACGTGGATTCGTGCAACATAAATTTTTCTGCATGAAATCTACTTCCACATGAATTTTTTCTTTTTGAAACTTCATTTTCTAAAATAGATCGCACGAGCATCTAGATCATCGAGATCATTCGAATGAGTCTCTTCACGTTCAAATCATATTCCATTTGGGGTGCGTCGAGGTAACGATAATTTGATAGATAATAATAATAATAATAATAATAATAATAATAGTAATAGTAAAAGTAACTAGTAATAGTAATATTAATAATAATAAAAATCACTAAATTATTAATATCAAAATAAAAATGAGATTAAAATCAAGTAACTTATTTTAAGATTTAAATTGAAAAACATATTAATATCTAAACCACAAAATATAACTCAAACCTAAAATTTAACTTAGGGTGTGTTTGGGGGAGGTTATTTACAGCGGTGGCGTTTTGAAAAACGCCACCGCTGTTTGAAAAAGACGTTTAGGGGGCGTTAAGCCGTTCGTAATTTTACATTACATGCGGATCGCGGGTCGATCCGCATTTCATTCGAGCAAAAGACAACCTCGCCCTCATCTCCTTTCGCATGGATCTCTCGACCCCCTCGCATTCTCCTCTGACTCCTCCTTGCACGGATTTCTCGCGATCCCTTTTCTCCCGCGACGAAAACCGAGATGGAAACGAAGGAATCGCTCGTTACAAAGACCACGAAACTCCCATCTTTCTCATCCTTCCGCACCGCTCCGACCAAGGTAAGTATCACGCACGCCCTACCTCCGCCCTACCTCCTCTTCGTTCCTCTTCATTCCTCTTCGTTAGACCCGAAATATCCTAATCAGGGCCTCAGAGCTCCTCTGCAATCTCTAGGGCAAAGCGAAACATTCTGCTCTTCTTTTCATCGAGCGGGAGCAACGCTCATAGCTTGTAGTGCTCGAAAGGATTCATGTCTGCCGCTAGGTAAACTTTTAACCCCTCAACTGACCTCCAATGTTTCTAGGGAATAGATTAGGAAAGACCGCAATAATTTTTCGTGCTTTGTTTCTAGTTCAAAGCTTTCCATCCAATAATCTAAAACATTGGAATTGATTTTGAAATGCCGCAATAGTTGTAGGTGCCTTGTTACAGTTCAAAGCTTTCCATCCAATGTTCTTGAGGCATTGGAATAGATTTTTAAATGCCGTACGATTCGCTGGTGCCTTGTTTCCTATTCAACGCTTTTTATCCAATTTTTATTTATCCAGAACAGGGACAAAATTGTCATTTATCCAGAATCAATTGTTTTTTAAACTAAAAAACCAAATACTCTGTCAACTTATCAGGATAAGCTGCTGATCAGTAGATTATCAGGATAATTGCTTATCTAGATAAGCTGAATTGGTTGCAGCTGCCCCAAATAGACCCTTAATCTAAAATGTATTCAACTAAATTAAAAATTAGAACTAAGTCTAATTACATCATACCACCTATTATTATATATTTAATATTTAACATCTACTCTCTATATGTATATGGAAGTTACCTGTTGGATTTGTAAATAAATGAGAATTGGATGGTATGCTTCTAAATTATCCCCACTAATTTCTGTTCTCTCCCACCTTCCTGCCAACTGAAATCTCTCGCATTTTCTCCTAAATGAGTCACTTCTCTATCTTCTTTGCGAAACTAAGCCCTCTCCCTCCTTTCCCATTTTCAAACTGTCATCTCACCCTTCCATCCATTCTACTCTTACCCGAGACCACTGGAAAAGCAACGACAAGATTACGGCATGCAGAGGCCTCTGAAATTCCCATCTTTCTCCTACCCGAAACCATTGAAGTAGGTAACGCCCTCATTTCTTCTCCTTCCTCTCACCCGCCTTCACACACTTAGCTTTACTAAATCCCCTAAATCCATCTTCCAACGGGATTAACTTAATCCTTTATTTAAGACAAACCAGAGGAAACAGGATTTAAATTTCTGTAGAACTTCCGGCGACCCGATATTCACATATATGCCATGCAATTCTCATGTATTAGGATGCCTAACACCTGAACATCTAAATTTACGTACATATCATTCAAGTCTTGTGTATTTTCATATTTAACACCTAAACTTCATATTACATACATGCTATTCCATTCTTATTTATTTATATTCTTAACACCTAAACATTCACCTTTATATATATAGAATTAATTCTCTTTGTATGTACTGTTTAATGCCTAAGCTTAATATTTATGTACACGCCATTCAATTATTATGTCTGTAATGTTTTACATATACATACATGCAATTATTACGTGTTTACTGTTTAACACCTAATCTTCTATATTTACATACTATTCAATTCTTATGTATTTACATATAAAACCTAAACTTCAATTTTTACGTACATGCCATTCAATTCTTATGTATCACATGGTTAACACCTAAACCACAAATTTTCTTACATAGATACCCCTCTACCTATGCATGCAAAAATTCAGCAAATAACTTGCATTATATGATGATATTTTTGGTGTGCCATATTAGATTTGGGTGCTATAAATGTAAACGTTAAAGTTTAGGTGTTATATATGTTACATATGTAAGCACATGGGAATTAAGTGGTATGTATGTAAATCTTCCTATTATGCATCCCCACTCACTTATGTTAGTATTGATTCACTTTTAGGAAGATTTATATACATATTATTCAACTCGTTATGTATTCACATATCTTACACCCAATGTTTCCCATTTGTATTTATAATAATTTGATGTGATAATATATGTGAAGGTATGTTTTACTTTTGAAAAGTTGGTGGTGATGGTATTTTTGATGTGATATTCAAAACTTGAATGTTGTGCATGACATTTGAGTGTTAGATATGTAAATATATAAGAATTAAGTGGTCTGCATGTATAGGTTAAGTATTAAGCTAATCATAGACTTGATCATTTCCATGCATCAATTTTTGTATGCACATTCATACAATTACTTGAAAAATTGTATTTAAAATTTCTAATAGACATCCTTTATATTTGTTTGCGAGGGGATTCATATTCGTTTTGGAATATTTATGGAAGTGTTTAATATTAATTGTTTTTCTATTTAGGTATCGTACTAATCCCTCATCAACATTTTCAATTTCAAAACATAGAGATGTGAATTAGGTTATGGATTCTCTCTCACCATAGGACCTTAGGAACCTTGATACGTTGATTCTTTTGGATCGGTTTGGATTGAAATCCGATAGTTCAATCGACTGTATTGAGTAGTGGCACGCAAGCA